CACATATTCTTTTTCCAGAATGGATGAAAGAGGCAATAAAACACCACCGAGATTTTCTACAAACAGGCATGTCTCACCCTTGCTAAAACAAATTAATTTCTAGTACTGTCTTGTTTCCTTTGCAATTCAGTACCTTGAGGAGGAACCAACCTTGATACAGATCCTGCTTTTTGCAGAGTATCACTGAATTCAGTCCTTGGGGGCTTCAGTGTAATTTCTAGCCAAGATGCTGGTAAGGAGTGGGAGAAGTGACAGTGTGGGGTGAACCCAGCTTGTTTACCAGCTCACCCACTGCAGAGTAGCTATGGACAGGGTAAGTACTACAAGACTTCCCCTTCTCTTTGTATTAGTTTTTCACAGGGAAAGAATGATTGCTGCTGCTACTGCAACTTTATAACCCTTGCAATTGCTGTTATTATTTCTATGGAAGAAAACGACAAAACATTAGTTATTCTAGATAGAAAGGGGATACATGCCTTAAAGGTCAAGGGAAGTCTCACTTTTATCACTGCACTAAAAAATTACTTTTCCTTTTACCAGTTCAACTATCAAATTGAGAGAGGAAAAAAGAAAAAATCAGATTTGATTTACCAGTTCCATACATTTTTCTTTTAAACAAATAGGGGGGGGGGGCGTGGGTATTTTTTTAAATTTTATTTTAGACACCTCATTTTGGAGAAAATATAATAAATGAAAAACGAGCAAGGTGGTATTTTGACATCAAGTGGGGAGGCAGACTATACTTCTTTTTATCCAGTAACTTGGGGCTCCTGGTGTTGACCTAGCTTTAGAAGCTCAGATTCAGTTATCTCCACTTTTGGAGGAAATATGATTCCGCATCTTTCATGTTCCTGGAAGATCCCCAAACCATAAGGCTACAGGGGATTTCAGTATAAGCCCTGTGTAAGTCATTACCCTCTTCAGACTAAGTATTGAATACAACACTAACTGTAGCAGAGACTTCTACCCAAACCTTGTCATCTCCTAGGAACATGTACAATGCTATGGGAAGTAAAACTCACTTCATCTAACAAAATTACTTTTTTGGTGTAGTTACTGCTGAAATAGAACAATACAAGTTCATAATTGCTGACTAATGGCAACAAACATCAGTAGAAATTCTCAAGATGTCACTTTAATCCATTTTGAAAAACAGTTGGTTGACCATTGGGCTTCCCTAAACCTCTTAATGCAGGGCAGAATATAGTCATCGTAGTATGTGTTGTACTCCAGCCGTATGTTGTCATGCCACATTTTCTCAGGCACAGGGAATACGTAAGTATTTTACATCAGGTAAAGCCATCTCTATAGAGAAACAGAGGTTGCCATCCACTATAACTCCCAAAATCAAAACCTTTTAAATAAAGGAAGAGAACATAATGTGAATCCTTCATGCCCAGCGGTAAGCAGTAACCATGGACAAGTTGCAAAAATGCTCCAGTATTGCTCTGTCAATAGTGCAAAACCCAAATGCCTTATTCAGCATAAAACCTGTAAATTCTCAGTCAACTGAAATTTACATTTTACAACAAACTACTTGTCAAAATAAAATTTATTCATTCCTATCCACATATCTTTAGTCTACCTAAATGCCAGAGTCCTCACAGATTTTCAGTTAGAAAACAAATTAAGTATAAAAGGCAGTAAATATTGCCTTAGTATTTTTTTCAACTAGTAGACATTACAATGATTATTAACCAATATAAAACATGTTTGGTACAATATCCAGCAGTATACATTAGGCAAATTATATTTTCATGGAAAAAATCTAAATTCCTCATCCTGAGAATTAGAACCTGACAAAATTGAAGATACACTTAAAAATCCAGGGCAATATAAATTGAAAAACCCTCAAAGGATGTTTTGCTTAAGCTTTAATTCTCAAAAGAAGAAAGCCAACCAGAAGACCCCTTTACTTGCTTTGCCAAAACCTCAAATTGGATCTCAACTTTATGGATGATTTAGGAAAAGGAAAGAAACAGTAATTCCCATGCTTACAGTCATCCCTTCAAGCACTCATGGTAATTAATTTTCTAGTCCTACCTATCACACTGATCTGGTGATAAGGAACATATAGTAAAATACAGTCAAAGGAAAAATATGGAAGAGCAATTATTAAAGCTTATCAGGAACACTGCATAGTTTGAGCCTCATAATCAGCTTCTTACCCCATCCCTTCTGCCCCAGCAACATTTTCTCTCTCAGGCTGCCTTCTGAAGAATAAAAAAGTAATAGACCACTGCGATGAGATTTCTCCTATTACACCATTAGGAAAAGCTCCTTCTGGAATACTCGGCATGTCATAATATGCACAGTAGGGAATTCCTCCAGCATGCCAGCAATTTTCAGTATCAATCAAAATACATAAAGCAATGTGCAGAAATGCTGGAACAGCTTTCATGTCAGGCACTCCTGGAATGCAAAAGCAGTGTAGTGCCTTTGCTGCTCACCTCTGTTATGCTTTTTGTTGCACAGAAAAGCCAGTCACGCACTCATGTGCAATACAACCTTCCATGCTCATTAGAAGCTTTTCTCTAAGCTCGTAATTCAGAAGCGCTTTTCTTCATGCAACGTTACTTTCATAACAAAAGTCAGCTTTCTGCTCCTAGTCAGCTCTACAAAATATCCCTCATCTGATTTTTTTTTTTTTGAGAGAGATATTATATATATATATATGCATGAGTTTATACACACAATTTTTTCTAAACAGGACTTTTGCTGCCTTGGGTGACCTGATAGCACATTTAGACACATACTGCCTGTGGGTGATGTGTAAAATTTGGGCATAATTCTAAGATCAAATCAGCATGGAAGGTGAGAGGGTTATTTATCTTCCCTTTCTTTCTTCTTATTTTTCCTGGTAATAATCATGTTGATAATCACAGAAAGTGTTACCATGGTTTTAAGCTGATACAGTTAAAAGAAGAAATGTGCCCATTTATCTGGTGTATGTCCATAAAAATACGCCCAGTTAACCTACCACAAAGTGTGAACTCCAGCAAAATATGACACTGATTACTACATCCAGATATATTCTGAAATTACTTGAAGATTTTGGGGTTGGTTGTTTGGGTTTTTTTCTTTCTTTTACAATGACCTGTAGAATTTTATGATTGCTATTATTAAAATCTTATACTTGGATTTCACTATCTGTTACTCCTGTCTCAATTTTCTGCTATTTGCATCTTGCATCCTTAGAAAAGGGGTTATGTATTCATCTTGTATTGCTATAAAAATTCTTGTTTTGCTGAAATCCTTGAGACATTATTTTATTTAATGTATAAGAACTCTTGGTTTCTATTGATACTAGCCAAAAGTTACTTTCCAACAGAATGAGAAGGGTATCCATCCGAGTAGAACATTTTTTTCACTGCAAATAGAATTATCAGTAAGAGGGTAAAAAAACACTATTGGTGATACCACAGAATCCTATGTACTTAGGAATTCTTTCCTTTTTCCATTCTTCCTTACCCTGTCCCTCTCCCTACCAAATGTGATATTGCTTCTAAAACACACATTAGACATTAAAATTTTAATTTCAGGTTCATCCTAAAAACTCTGTGTGAAACGTGGATATATAGCTTTAGTGCAAAATGAAAATATATTTTAAATTCTTCCTTCTAAGTACTACTTTTTGCTCAATGTTCTGCATCCACATTGTATCTCTTACTCAGATATGGTCTCCAAAAATTAAAATAGAGATCAAGCATGATAATGTGGACACAGAA